TCAAAGTTGAGGCACCACCTGACTCAGAAGGTCTTGCATTCTGGGGCATTCAGCCTCCCTCTCTCTCCTGCCCTTGTTCTCCCCACCTCCACGCTCCAATACGGCCAGCCTCTTGCATTAGAAGACGGGATCCCCAGGCAAGAATCTGTAGATGCCAGGGTTTGCCCCGCCTTAGAGTTAGAAGCTGCAAAGTGTTGGGCAAATGGCTTCCATTCCCTGGGACTTGTTCTTCCAGTCTCTACAAAGGCAGCTCGAATGATCAACCAGCCCCAAGATTCTGTCCGACCTTGGGATCCCATGGTTCCCAACTTCCATGGTGCTCCAAGATTCTGCAATTCATCTCTACGCTTCCCTGATTCTCTGACTCCCAAGTCAAGCTACATAGATTCCCATCCTCAACTCCTAAAGTCCGTGGGTGCAGCTCTAAAATTCTACTACGGTGGAGACAAGCCTTCCAGTCACACGGGCCACACGAAATCAACTCTAAGGCCTCACAGACCACAAGCCACATGGTTTGATGAGAAAGAGAAAGGGAAAGAGAAACACTCTCCATTTAAATATAACACAACTGCTTTCTGATCACTTAGAATTTGTATTTCATACTTCTCAGAAGAACTATTTTGGACATAGCAGGTGTTTTGTTCTGTTTTGTTCAGGGTATCCGTCTTGTGGGTCCTATAAAAGGCAAACAGAACAGAAATCCACTGGCTCAGTGAGTGGTAAAACTTACGTGCATTCATAATCTAGATTTTCCAGATTGCTCTAACTCAAAGAAAGGTGTCGATGCCCTCATTTTCTCATGGGTGTTTTTTGAAAACAAGGTGAAGGTCAGCAGTGCTAAAACATGAGACAGACACTTGGCAAGACCAACCAACAACAACTAGGATGAAAATAACAAAGTAATTATTTTATATTTGATTTGTTGTTGTATCCATACATTTATTGAGCTTTTTTTTTTTTTAAGATTTTATTTATTTATTTGACAAAGAGAGACACAGCCAGAGAGGGAACACAAGCAGGGGGAGTGTGAGAGGGAGAAGCAGGCTTCCCGCTGAGCAGGGAGCCCGATGCGGGGCTCGATCCCAGGACCCTGGGATCATGACCCGAGCCGAAGGCAGACGCTCAACCGACTGAGCCACCCAGGCGCCCCTACATTTATTTAGCTTTAAAAAAAGAGGATTTTTATTTATTTATTTGAGAGAGAGAGAGAGCATGAGTGGGGTTGGGGTGGGAGAAGGAGTGGGGAGGAGGGGGGCAGAGGGAGAAAGAGAAGTAGACTCCTTGCCGAGCAGGGAGCCCAGCTCGGGACTCAATCACAGGACCCCAGGATCACGACCTGAGCTGAAGGCAGATGCTTAACGGACAGAGCCACCCGGGGACCCCTATTTAGCTTTTGTTAACAAATTTATGAATAAACACAACATGTATCAAAAACCAGAATAAATACAAAATACAAGCAAGTCCAAGACCAGAGCATGGAAAAAAGGCCGGGAGGGAGGGAGTATGACATAAGAGCTGTTGCTTCTGTCGTGGGTCCTACTTCCAACGAGATGTGAGCTTCTCACCACCAGGAACAGAATTTCAGAGCTTGAAGATAAGTCACATGTTTCACCTCGAGACTGAAACTCTAAGTTTTTGACGTTCTCAGGTTGCTCAACAGCGGTCATGCTGATGGGCACCTTGCTGGAGGTGACTCTCGGAGCCGAGTCAGAAGGCTGATAGGAGAAGGTCCACCATGGCTACGGTGCCCCCAGCTTTCTTGGGGGCTTCTCCCAGCTGGTTCTGACTCTGCAGGAGCTTTGCCCTAAATGCTGGCTTCCAAACATGGTGCTAGCTGGGATGTCGTCATGTTTCAACATTAGATCCCAGCTCATGAATCTCTGAGTCACAGGCCTTTAGGGAGACAAAGCACCTTGGTTATGGAATGTCCTCTCCTGTCCACCGCAACAGGAGGCAAACTACCATCTTTAGGGCAACAGGGCAGGGATACCAAGTCAGCAGTGTGTGCCAGAGTGGGGGGGTGCAGGTGGAAGGACCACCCACAGGTGGCCAGCGCCAGATTCTGAGGGACACACAGCAACCGAGTTTTGGCAAAGGGGCATTGTGCCAGGATGTCCCGAGGAGCTTCTAGAGAGGTGAGCATCGCTTTAGAGCCTCGTTGTCATGATGGCCAGGCATCTGGATCAGCTATGTAATATCAGACTGCTTTGTGAAGCTTGGGCACCCAGCCAGAAGGGGTGCATATCCTTCCAGTGGGAGAAGAGAACCTGCCCCTCTATCCTAGCTTCCTTCCTGTCCCCTGCAAGGCCACTTCCTCCCACCACTGTCCTGAGTCGGCATCTCAGCTCTGACATTTACAAGCTGTTGCCTGTGGTCAAGACAAATAACCTGATGAAGCCTCCGTTTCCTCATCTGTAGAATGGGAGTAATGAGGTTGTTGAGAGGAGTAAAGGATCAACTTGAATATAATACATGTAAGGAGCCTAAAGCACAGCAAGTCCCTGAATCATCATTAGCATCATCTTCTTCAATGTCAGAGCTGGAAAGAGTTTTGGAATCATCGTGTTTTATGCCACATTTATTCTTCCTGCTTCTGACAAATATTGGCTGAGGGCTTCCTGAGTGCTGGGGAAGCAGGCTGGGGGAGAAGACAGAAGAGGCCCCCACCCGGCTGTTCACAGACTAGAGGAGCAGACAAGATGAGAGTCTTCATCGGCTTTCAAAGTCACATCACATTCCTGGGTGGCATGGGTCAGTGTCCATGGCATGAGGATCTCCTGGGGGGCAAGTAGGCTTCCTCGAGGAGGGGACAGCTAGCTTGAGACTTGAAGGGGTTTGCCGAGTCAGAGGGCTGATAGGAGAAGGTCCAACCTAGAAACCAGATCATCTGGTCCCTTTCTTTAGCCCCACAACTGAGATCTACTAATTCTGTCTTCCAGATGGAACCTGAACAGTCCCTCCATGTCTCTGGCCCTGCCCTGGGTTGGCCACCTCCCCTGGAGTACTTCAACAGCCTCCAAAGCAGCTTCCCTGCCTGTCCTGCTCCACGGAGCTGCCAGAGGATCTTTGCAGAAGGCAAAAGCTAACCACGTCCTTCCCCAGAGGAACACCTTTGCTGCAAGATAAAGTCCTGACTCCTTCCCACGGTCGCCTGCAGCACCCAGCCCCTGCAGACCCCTCTGACCTCCTATTTTCCCCTCTCCCCACATCCTGTCCACTGCACTTCTCGAAAGTCTGCATCTGAAAAGTGCTTCCTGCTGGACTTTTGCACCTGCTGGTCTCTGTGATTCACAGACCCTTCCACACTTCAGGCCTTAGTGTGAACACTCCTGGCCCTCCCTGCCTGGTCCAGGTTAATTCACCCTGTTTCCTCCTCCCCAATTAGAGGTGTCCACTTTTTCGTGAATGCTTGTTGAAGGGTCTGGTTTCCCCCTTGGATGCAGGGGCCTTGTCTTCCTGTCACCTGCTGAATCCCAGTGCCTGACACAAGGCTCTCAGGAGATGCTGTTGCTAGGTAGTTGTTATTAAACAAATGGTCACTATTCAGATCTCTTCCATTGATCTCCGTTTCTCCACCCACAAAGGGGCATTAGAAAATAGCCAGCAGAGGGGTACCTGGGTGGCTCAGTTGGTTAAGCATCTGCCTTCAGCTCAGGTCATGATCCCAGGTCCTGGGATCAAGCCTGATCAAGTGTCTGGCTCCCTGCTCAGAGGGAGTCTGCTTCTCCCTCTTCCTCTGCCCCTCCCCCACTCATGCTCGCTAGTGCTCTCTCTCTCTCTCCCTGTCTCTCTCTCTCTCCAATAAATAAATAAAATCTTAAAAAAAAAAAAAAACCCACCCAACAGTTACTATGCAGTTAGTCATACAAAGCCTCTAATATATGTAGAACAAACACTATATGATACTGTTTTTCAATAACAGCCAGATTCATGGAGATGGGATTGCATATTGTCAGTCCCAACACTTTCTACCAGGGAGGCACTATTTACTGGACCCATGAATGAATTAATGAAGAGCTATGAATGAATGCATGGCTAGCCATAGGCAAATTACTTAGTATCTGTATGCCTTGGTTTTCTTATCTGTGAGATGCGGATAATAGACCTGTCACACAGGCTATTTATAGTTTAAATATGTAAATATAGGTGAAGTGTTTAGATAAATGCTTCGCACTTAGCGTGTGTCTGTGTTTGCTGTTATGGTTGAAACTATTTCAGAAATTTATTTAAAAAAAAACGCAAACTTTTCACAATGAAAAGTAGCCTGCATCCCTTCCTTCCCCTTCCTTCAATGCATATGCATATAATGCATAGATAGATCTATTATATACTCATTTTACAGATAAAGAAACAGGGGCACAGAGAGGTTAAATATCTTGAGACCTACCAGCCTGGAGTTTTATTTTACTCACGTCTGTCAGGGTTTCTCAACCTCAGCACAACTGACATTTTAGGCTGGGTGTGGGTGGGTGCGGAAGGGGCTGCCCCGTGTTACTGCAGGATGTTTAGCAGCATCTCAGGTCTCTAGCCCCTAGACACCAGGAGGACGCCCCTGCACCCCAGCTGTGACAACAAAAAATGTCTTCAGATATTGCCAAATGTCCTTGGCGTGGGGCTGGGGGAGCAGGGCAAAATCGCCCCCTTCTTGAGAACCCTCATGTCTATGAATCCGTGTGATAGCCCCTCCCTCTGTTTTCCTTGTGTTACACACACAGTAGCACGCTGTTCAGGGTGTAGTCTTCTTCTCTTACACCACTTCTCGGCGACCATTTCCACTTCGCTGATTACAGACAGGAGAGAACTTCTCTGAAACAGACCTGTCCCGACAGGAAGAGGGGTGAGCCGCCCGTCCTGGGGGTAAGCCAGCCCTCAGACCAGGACTTCCGGGGCGGGGTCAGCTCCCGGGGGCCGTCCCGCCCCTCCGCGCAGTCGGGGGGTGGCCCGCAGGGGCGGGGAGCGGCCGTGGGCGGGGCCGCGCGCCCGGGCCCTCCCCCGCGCGACGTCACGGCGCCGCGGCCCCGCCCCCGCGCGCGGGCTCCTCCCCCTCCCCCGGCCGGGGCGGCTGGCCAGCCCGGAGTCGCTGGGCGAGCGGGGTCGCCTCGCAGCGCCTTTGCACGGTAGGTGGCCCTGGGGTGGCGCGTGGGGCCCGGGCCGCGGCCGCCGGCAGGGAGGCGTCTGCGAGTCGGCCTCGGACGCCGTGGAGCCCTCAGCCCGGGCGGCTTCTTCCCGGGCCCGACGCGGCTGCTGAGGCTCCGGGGCTGGGAGCTGGGCGGGAGGCGGCGCGCGCGGGCCGGTTCGAGGATCCGCAGACGCCGGGCGCCCCGAGCGCTGTCCGCGGGGTGCGGTAGAGCCCCGGCCCCCTGACCGCGCTTCTCGCCTCGGACCCCGCGCCCCGGCGGCGCTCAGCGTCCGTGTGTGTGTTGGGAGTGGGGGTTGGGGGCGACGGCGTGTCACCGCCGTCGGGGTCCCTGGCCCCTCCGCGGCGTGCGGGGACCCCCCGGGCGGGCTCCGGGACGCGCGGGGGGCGCGTGGAAGTTAACTTGCAACGCCGTGCAGTTGCGAGGCGTGTCCAGAGTGGAGGCGTTGGGCGGCGGAAATCGCTGGCTGAGGAGGGGGCCGCAGAGAGCATGGGGTAGGGGGAGCCCTGGTGAACTTGAGGGTCAGCCGGGAGGAGGGAGCGAAATTCTGCCAGAAGACCCCGCCGCCTGGCAGCCTCCCCCTCTCAGTGTGAGCTGGACGGAAGGTGCTTGACAAAACAGACTGGGAGTGGCAGCGCGGGAAGGGGGGCTTGGTCACCCAGGCCTGGTTGCCGGACTTGGCAGAGTCATTATTATTATGTGGGGCAGAAGTCGGGTCTGACTTTCTCACTCAAATGCCCATCCCCTCTGGAGGCAGGGTGGGGACCATCCAATGGAGTGCAGTCGTTACAAAGCACTGTGCCTATCACTTGCCCACTTCCCCTTTTACAGGTGGGGAAACTGAGGCTCAGAAAGGTCAAGTGCCCACGGCCCTTGTAGGTCCCACAGGTAGGATGTGGCAGAGCTGAAACCCACCCTCAGACGTCCTGACTTCATATGTCATGTATGGTTGTTGGGGAGGGGAGCTGTCAAACTCCTACTCATCCTTCAGAAGCCTCAGGCAGCACCCCATCCTGGAAGCCTTTGGCAGGCATTGTTGAGTGCTTCCTGTTTTGAAACCCACAGAGGTGACTGGCCCTTTCCCTCACTTATCAACCTCCCATCCTGGGCTGTGGACATCTGTTCCTGTACCCCATCTCCTATCCTTTCATTCAGCTGGGTGGCCTCATGGTTAGGCCAGGCTTCTGGAGTTGGGCAGATCTCGGGGTGACTCACTCTGGTTTAGTAGTGATGTAGTCTGTGCGAGTCATTCCTCCTCATCCAGCCTCAGTTTCCATGACTGTAAAATTGGGTTTGTTGAGTCATTCATGAACCAATTTACCCTACTGAATCCCAGTTGTACTATTATTTACTCAGTGTGTGTGTTTAAGTCACTGTATTTTTTAAGATTTTATTTATTTATTTGACAGACAGAGAGAGAGAGAGCACAAGTAGGCAGAGTGGCAGGCAGAGGGAGAGGGAGAAGCAGGCTCTCTGCTGAGCAGGGAGCCTGACGTGGGGCTCTATCCCAGGACCCCAGGATCATGACCTGAGCCTAAGGCAGCCGCTTAACCGACTGAGCCACCCAGACGCCCCCCACCGTATTTTTTAAAGCCTCATGTAATCTCTTTATAGCAGCTTTACTAAGATCAAGTTCATATATCCTATAATTCACGCTTTTAAAGCATTCAATTCAGCGGCTTTTTAGGATATTCACAGAGTGAATATTTTAGAACATTTTCATCACCCAAAAAGAAACCCTGGACCCATCTGCAATCACCTCTCAGTCCCTCTCTCCCCAGCCCCTGGCAACCACTAATCTACTTTCCGTCTCTATGGATTTGCCTATACTGGACATTTCATGTAAATGGAGTCACGCACAATGTGGCCTTTTGTTACTGGTACCTTTCACTTAGAATGATTCTGAGGTCCATCCGTGTGGTAGTATATAGCAGTTCTTCCTTACTTTTTTTTTTAGTATCTCATTACTTTTTTTTTTAACAGGTTTTTTTAAGATTTATTTATTTATTTATTTGAGAGAGAGAGAGAGAGAGAGAGAATGAGTAGGGGAAGGGGCAGAGGGAGAAGGAGGGAGGAAGCCGACTCCCTGCTGAACATGGAGCCAGACGCAGGACTCGATCTCAGGACCTGAGCTGAAACCAAGAGTCAGACGCTTAACTGACTGAGCCACCCAGGCATCCTGGTATTTCATTATTATTTTTTTTTTTTATTTCAGTATAGTTAACATACAGTATTAGTTTCATTAGTTGTACTTCATTACCTTTTAATGGCTGAATAATATTCCATTGCATGGATATACTCTATTTAACCACTTCTCAGCTGGTGGACATTTGTGTTATTTCTGCTTTTTGGCTGTTGTGAATACTGCTGCTGTGAACATTTGTGTACAAGCCTGTGTGTGCCCATATGTTTTCAGTTCTCCCCGGTATATCCCTGGGAGTAGAACTGCTGGATCGGATGGTAATTCTGTGTTTAACCTTTTGAAGAAGTGCCAGGTTCCCAGAGCAGCTTCCCCATTTTACAGTCTCGCCAGCAGCAGATGAGGGTACCGATCATCTTAAATAAACATAGTCTCCAAATAGTTACAGTCTTTGAAATCACTGGCTTTGATGTGCTCGGTATAAATTATTTTCCAATACGCATTGAGTTAAATGCCTCGTTAGCAGAATAAGGAGTGTCCTGTGGGTCACCAGAAGCATCTCTGGGACCATCAGGAAACCAGAAATCCAGCCCGTGGAGCGCTTTGCCAAGGCATGTGTGTGCTTGCGTTGCTTCTGTAACAGGGGCGTAGTTGTGAGGGCAGTCTACCGGGCCCTGTGCGGGACGGGGGGCACTGAGGAGCCCAGGGGCTTGCAGTGCCTACCCCAGGACCTGGTGGTGCCTGTTAGGAACCTGTGTATAGGAGAATGGAAAAGTAGGAACTGGCCAGACCTTCCCACCCCAGCTGCAGAGGCCAGTCCCTCAGCGGTGAAAGGGAGTCTGGTCCTGCCCGGGGCCCCACCCTGGCCACCTATGCTCATTCTGCAGGTGACCTCCCCTGGTGGCCATGTGGGGTGGGCCATCTGAGCGGCCTCAGGGAGTCACTGCTTGTTTCAACCGACGCCACCCCTCCCTCGCCCCCCACTCCCAGACCTGAGACCCACAGTCCTGAGTTGCAGAGGCCCTGTCGGTGCCCCTCGGGATGACACACAGACATCCCCTCCTTCCTCTTGGCATCGCCCCCATGCCTGGGACCCCCACCTCTTCCCTCACGCTCTTTGCCTGCTGTGAGGATGAAGCTGCTCGGGAAGAGCCCAGGTCAGAGCAGGGCATTTTCATGGAGGAACCAAGTTTCTTGAAGGTCACCAGTTCCTGATGTTCTTAAGCCTGTCGTCTGCTGGTTCTGGAACCGAACCCGGCATCCCTCCGTGCGTTCTGGGTTCCCATGGAGCAGCCTTGTCCTACCTGGACAGCTGCTGTTTGGGAGGGCCATTGAGCTGGGCCTCTGGCACCTGTCACCAGCCCCTCCTGCTTTTATTCATTTATGCATATTTTCCCTTCCTTGTCCTTTTACAACCAGGCATTCCTGGATAGCCTGGGGAAATGGAAACGGTTCAGGAGACTAGGGAAGAGTCTCTGGGCCTCAGTGTATCCTGCTGGGGAAATGGGTGTGGACTGAGTCAGAACTTGGATCTAGTGCCACCCTGGGATTGGTAAGGCTGTCAAAACGTGTTATCGACACGACTTTGTGAATCGATATGTAGTAAGAGAGGTGGGTCAGCAGTGGCTGGTGGTAGTGATTTAAAAGCCCAGGTATGGCCCAGATGGCTCTGATCTGCCCTGTGGCACTGCAGAAACTTGTCTGGGTAACAGCAGCTCCTGGCCTCCCCCCGCCCCCCCGCCACCTGTTCCTGCCATCTGCAGGGCCCCTTCTCTGCGCTCTGCAGCCACACACTCACCCTGTCTGGGGCCACTCCAGAGAAGGTTCTGAGATGCCTGCGCCCTCGCATGGCCCTTCTCTGGTCTTTTCCACTCTGGATTGTGGCATAAGGAGGATTCATGGGAATGATTCATTGAGAATGGCCCGTGGGGTGGGCCGAGCCCCAGAAATTGCAGGGAAGGGCTGCTGGGGGCAGTGTCCACGTGCCCTGGGGAGCCGCCGGGGCTGCCGTCCCAGGGAGGAGCTTCATGTTATCCTGTGTGCTCAGATGGTGGGAGGCAAGCGCAGGGCAGCCAGCCTGTCTGCCAAGTGCATTCTTGCATCGACCAGACTTTTGACCAGGCTGCTGTGGCCAGAAAGCAGGCTGGTGGCCAGAAAGTGGGCCTGGTGGCAGTGTGCACGCTCCAGGGTTCACACCTGCATCGGAATCTGGTTGTTCCGCTCAGCGGCTGCACGTTTGTGTTCCTCCCTTCCTGCTGCCATCAGTTTTCCCGTCTGCAGAATAGAGGTGCAGCTAGGACCTGCCTCCTGGATTGGACCAGAGGGGACGGGGGCCAAGTGCTTATCTTGTTGCAAGGCAAAATGAGACGGCTCAGGGTCAGAAAGGCTGTTGGAATCTTGAGTGTGTCCCTTTGGGAGCCTCAGCTTTCCCATCTGTCGGAAGGCCATAATTATAACTGATATCAACAGAGCTCACCAGGCACGAGGCAGTGTTCTAGGCGCTCTGTGTACACGAACTCGTTTGATCCTCCCAATGCCCAAAGGAATTGGACAAGCCGAGGTATGGAGAGGTGAAGTCATTTGCACAAGGGCACCCTGCTAGGAAGTGGGAGAGACAGGATTTGAATCCAGAGTCTACGCTCCTAATTACCATCTTACCCCCTCTCAATATCCTATCTTTTTTTTTTTTTTTTTTTAAAGATTTTATTTATTTGACAGAGACACAGAGAGAAAGGGAACACAAGCAGGGGGAGTGGGAGAGGGAGAAGCAGGCTTCCCGCTGAGCAGGGAACCCGACGCGGGGCTTGATCCCAGGACCCTGGGATCATGACCTGAGCCG